AGACACCCCTGGATTTACATGGCGAATCTAACACACCTGCTTTGTGACCTTTGGCAAGAGTCTTCATTTCCTGGCACTTCGGTTTGTGATGTTGTAGTATGGGTGTACTGCATGGATGGTTTTGAGGGTGTAGGGAAAAGAGCTAAGTCCCTAGCTGCTTTGTGAACCCCAAGATGAATCTAACATATTTATAGTCTCGTCTTCCCTTATGCTTCCGTATACCATGCAATAACACACAGTATCTTTCCTACTGCTGTTCCCCAGAAGAAAATCTGTTCAAGAGGTGGAACAGTACTGTGGTAAGAGCTAAGAGCTGGGTGGCAGTCTCAGCTCTGTCAATTATTAGCTCAGTGATCATGGGCAAGATAATTATCCTCACTATCCTTCAGTGGTGTTTTTTTTTTAGCCGTAAAATGGGGAAAAATAATAGTATCTCACTCATTGGATCGTTGTGAGGATTAAATGAGTCATGTAGAGACCCCTGGCACATAAGTAGTGAAAGATTCTTAGCGGTTACTTCTACTCCCATTGTTCCTCAAGATATGGTTCCCTTATAGATATCACTTGCTTTTTTAAGGCCTTCCCCAGTTTTCCCATACTGTTATTTGCTTCCCGTCTGTGCAGTTGGTGGGCCATGACGTCACAGGCATATTACAATTGTTAGTTCACTCAGACCACCCAGTGTGTTCTCATTTATTATGCCATCTACCCTCTGGGATAGAGCAAACTCTTAAAGACCCAGCATCCAAGGCGGTCCAGTCCCTGGCAGAGGGACTCGGACCCAACAGTTAGCGTAGTGGAGCAGGGTCAGGAGGGTGTGCAGGTTGGAGGAGCAGCTGTGCTCCTACACCATATAAAGTCTTTTTAAAAAATATATATTTTTATTGATTTCTGACTAGAATCGATCAGAAAGGTGTTCTAGCTCAGTGGGATGAGAGAGGCTTATTTGTAGGAGGAATAGTGGTTCAATGCAATAAGACCCTTCATCAAAACCTGCAGAGATCTGTTTGTAGAGGGCTCAGATGTTAGCTCAGGAACATATAAGGCCTTCTCAAGAATTTTTTGAGTACTTACTATATGTAGTAGGTTCTGGGGTGACAAGATAAATCAAACAGGGGTTTGCCTTCCCAAAGCTCTCTTGGATTTAGATGACTTGTGATTGTTTTTAGTTATTTGGGGACACTGAAAAGGGGAGGATCGGTAAACACTGGGTTAGAATCAGGGAAGCCCTCCCAGAGGAAGTGACATTTCAGATGAGCTTTGAGAGAGTAGGCCCTTAGGGAGGGAAAAGAAGTCAGGCAAAGGGAATAACATAAAATGTATAACTAGAACAAATGCTGCATCATGGAAAATGTGAGACGGGGCACTTCTTCCATTAACCAGCACTGAGGGATTCTCTATTTTGTGACAAGGGTAAGGCATCTGCTCCCTAACAGTAGCAAAAAAGGCTTAAAGAAAGTGAAGGTTTTTAAAAATGGTGATTTTTTTTTAACTTAAAAAACAACACTACCTGCAGTATTATAGATATTTGTACTATAATTTGCTCATTTAGGAATAATGTGAACTTAAGATGCTTTACTAGCCTTTTCTGGTATGCCATTAGAAAATATTAACTATGGCCGAAGCCGGTTTGGCTCAGTGGTAGAGCGTCGGTCTGCGGACTGAAGGGTCCCAGGTTCGATTCCGGTCAAGGGCATGTACATTGGTTGCGGGCTCATCCCCGGTAGGGGGTGTGCAAGAGGCAGCTGGTCGATGTTTCTCTCTCATCGACATTTCTAGCTCTCTATCTCTCTCCCTTCCTCTCTGTGAAAAATCAATAAAATATATTAAAAAAGAAAAAAGAAAATATTAACTATGGTAACACTGACCTGTCTGTCATACAGGGTTCTTAGAAATCAGTCTTTATCACTTGCTTTTAGTACTTTATTTCAAGTTAAATGATTTTAAAGTCCCTCTCCTAAGACTTTTGAATAAGGTGTAGTTTCTATATGTTTTTAAGAAGGAGTTTATGACCCTGATTCATGGCTGTTATTGTGGAGATTAAATGAGCCAAGGCCTATAAAATGGTCAGTACAGAGTCTGTTTTCCCTTTAGTCCCAGCTTTCTCTCTGACACAATTTTCATTCTTTGCTTTTTAAAACATTGTACTCTGACCATCGTCTGTTCTCAGGACCCCAGAATCAGGTGAGGCATGCTCTGGGGGAAACTCATAATGGTTATTATGTAGGAAAAGTGTCAGGTTAGTATACACACGCGCGCGTGTGTGTGTGTGTGTGTGTGTATGTGTGCGCGTTCAGAAGCTGAGAGAATTGGAAGGGGCTCAAAAATGTGGATTGTAAAAAAAAAAAAAATGTGGGTTGTATTTGTCTGCCAGGTGGTAAATGTGGTTTCTCACAGCCTTAAGAAACCAGCAGCCCTCTCACCTAAGCTGCTTCAGTCTGGCGGTATCCAGACAAAGAGGTGGGAAGACATTCACTTATTTATTTATTCAGCAACCATACCTAGCTGGCTACTAGTGCAAGTGTAAACATATGACAGTATGGATGGATGAGAGAGCATGGCCACTTGGGTGGCTACAGGTGGCTTGGCATGGCTGGAGTTGTGTACTCTTTAGTTTTCTTAAAACATCCATGACAAGTCTAAACCTGAGTGGGACAAGGAAGAAGAACTATAAGGGGAAGTTGTGTGCTGGTGGAATTTGTCACTTCTCTGAGGATTAGTCAGGGTAGACTCAACTAGTAACTTCCTTTAGGGAATTGCCAGGCTGACTAATCCATTACCTGAGGGCAATGGGTCCCTCACTTTGCTGTACACTCTATAGAATACCCAGGAGTTAAAACAAAACAAAACAAAACAAAACAAAACAAAACCTCATGCCCAGGTGGCACCCCATCCCCATGCCAACCCGAGGCTGGAAACCAGGTGCCAGCATTTGTTTTTTATAAGATCCTCCCGCGATAACACTGGGCAGCAAAGTTCTGGACTCACCGCCTTAGGGCATAGTCCAGTTTTTCTTCATTTAAAACCCACTCTTACTTAGAAATCTGGTTCCAAACAGTCCTTAAACTGTTTCTGTCCTTTTCCTGGGTTGGGGGCGCTATCGGCAAGAAGAGGATGTGGCGTCACCCCAATGGGGGATCCTCGCTAGCTGAGCCAGGGCTGCACGTAGGTGGCGGGGCTGCACGGGCGGCGGATTTCTGCTGTGTCATCCTGACTCTGGCTGCCGGCCCACCCGCGGCGGGGCAGGGCGTGGCTTCCCGGAGCCGCCGGGCCCGGCCGCCGGCCCCACTCACTGATCGCTGCGGTCCCGCATCGCAGTGCACCGGAGAGGCCGGGGCCTTGGAGCGCTGTTCATGTAAGCCTGGGGTTCGCCGGCAGCCACCCCGCTCCGAGCGAGCGGCCCGAGCACCGGGGACCCGGGGACCGAACCCCGCCTGCCCTGCGGGGTGCCTGGGAACGCGGGGAGGGGAGCGGGTGCTGCGGGCGTGTCTGCGCGAGGGAGAGGCTTTTCTCGGGGCCGCGAGCTGCTCGGCGGGCGTTCTCGGCTTAGTCCCGGGTAGTGAAAGCTTAGCCTGTGGTACCGGCCCCCTGGTGGTTCCCTTTCTCTTGCTCCTCTGGGTGGAGACAGCTGGCTTGCACAATATCCGAGAAAATGGGTTTTTGTATCGTTTCTCAATGCACGATCTTTTTTAAAAAATATATATGTTTCATTGATTTTTTTTTTTTTTAAATAGAGGAAGAGAGAGGGATAGAGAGTTAGAAACATCGATGAGAGAGAATCATCGACCAGCTGCCTCCTGCACACTCCCCACTGGGGGATGTGCCCGCAACCAAGGTACATGCCCTTGACCGGAATCGAACCTGGGCTGGGACCTTTCAGTCCGCAGGCCAAACCGGTTTGGGCTCAGTGCACGATCTTGATAGACCCTCGACAGCATTGAGAGGGTGCAATGATTGAAGGACGCTTTCCCAGGGTGTTCACACCATTGAGTCCCCAGAAATCCGGAGAGGTTGGCAAATTATATATGTATTGACATATTTAAGGCTCAGAGCTGTTTGGCTCGCCCTAGGGCAATTAATCAGGGACAGCTGCGCGTGGAGCCAGTGCTGTGATCTGACTTTTTTTCAGGCGATTACATGATAGTGTATGAAAGCACACACCACACTGCCCGGGGGTGGGCCCTCGATCTGCTGTTGACCAGCTTTGTGACCTTGGGCAAGTTAGCTGTTCTGTGCCTCATCCCTCTCTGTGAAATGGACCTGGTGGGTCTCACTTCGAAAAGGTTGTGAAGATTGTGGTTCTATATGCACAGAAGTGTGTTAAGCTGTTATTGTCATTACCAAACAACTACACTTCTAAGCGTTGGTGTGGTCTTTGTCTCATGCATTGGGCCTGATATCAGTGTAACTGGAGTCTTTTTAATTCTGCCACTGACTCACTCTCTGAGTTCATCTGTAAAGCTGGACCACTAGGTCCGTGTGCCATGGAGGGTGTCGCTGCATTGCTCAGGGCGGATAAATCGCCCTCACTGGAAAGTGTTCGTTAACCTGCCCAATGGATTCACATTTCACAGAAACGTTGGAAGTTGGGGTTTGGCGTCCGATAGAGATGCAGAGTTTAAAGGGAAGATTAATAAGTTGGAAGGTGTTTTACAGACCTCTCCATGCCTCAAGCTTCCTTGTGGAGGCTTTCCTGCATTCCGGATGCACCGGGGAGGCAGCACGAGGATGTTTAGGGAGACTTGGTTGAGTCTGAGCGGAGCGCTGGCGCTCGTAGCTGGCCTCGAGGCCATTGCCAGCTTCGGGGGCCCGGGGTCTGAGGTCCTGGGTCCGGGATCCCAGCCCGAGCGCGGGCGCGGGCGCGGGCCGAGGTCGCCGGCAGGTGGCGCTATTGCGCGGGCGGCGGCGCGGGTCGCCCGGGGGCGCGCACGTGGGCTCGCGGAAGCCCCGCCCCCGGCGCGCACTTCCCGCCGCGGCCCGGGCGCCCGCCTCACCCGCGCCCTCTCCGCTTCTGTGCCGCAGAGGACGGGCCGCGCCTCGAGGGAGCGCTGGCCGAGCTGACCGCGGAGCCCGACCTTCCCGTTGTGTTTGTGACGCGCAGAGAGCTAGGCGGCCATGGTCCGACCCTGAAGGTAGGTGAGCGGCGCTAACGTTCCTTCCGCCCGCCGCGCCGGCGCGGGCCCCGCGTGGTTGCCCGCCGCCGCCGCCGCCGCCGCCCGCAGCCGGGGCCCCGGGCCGTGCGCCGACGCCGAGGAGCGGGTCCTGGGCAATGACAAAGCCGCCGCCGGGCCGGCCCGCGTGTCATTCCAGGTTGATGAGACGCTGTGTAAAGCGAACTGGCCAAGGGCAGATGTAACTCATCTCACCTTTAAACATGCATTTAAACAATATATATTTTACTGATTTTTTTTACAGAGAGGAAGGGAGAGAGTTAGAAACATCGATCAGCTGCCCCCTGCACAGCCCCCACCGGGGATGTGCCCGCAACCAAGGTACATGTCCTTGACCGGAATCGAACCCGAGACCCTTCTGTCCGCAGGCCAACGCTCTATCCACTGAGCCAAACCGGTTTGGGCTAAAACTGCATTTTTTTTTTTTTTTTAACGTGTCCCTTCCCTCCTTTTGTCCCTTCCTCTTTCCCAGAAAACCTGAATAACTTAAGGCCTTCTAGGAGAAGTGCACACTTGCTTGTTCAGGGAACTGCTGAGAAAAGGGGACCAGGAAATGCATATCGTTTTTGGCTCCATCCTCCGGGTTAATTCTCGGAGGGGACCCCAGAGAGCCCGGTCCGGTGCAGGGCAGAGCGACCGGGAGCTCATCGCGTGGTTTGAGTTTTCTTCAGGTGGCTCTTTTCTAGCCCAGGGTTAGCATTGGTAAGGGAGGAAAAGAGAAGTCTGCCCTCTGGCCGGTGGCGAGCGTGGTGGCACTCTACCATAGGTCCATTGAGGGAGGGACAGGTCATGCCCCATGGCACTGGCAAAGTGCTGGGAGGCTGGCCTGGGGCATGGGTAGCATTGATGATCTACATCGGGTTGGTTACCAGGTTAGAAGGCCTATAATCCCACCACCTTGACACATTTCTGCTAATTATCCCTTTGTCCTTGTCTGTTTATCTCTATGTGATTTTTAAGAAACGGAACTCATATTTGAACACGGTGCCTCCCGAGAAAGTAAACCTGTGGCACAGATAAATGTAAAATCTACTTAGCTATGTGTGCCTTTAGGAAGGTATTAGCAATTAATTTATATCTTTATTATTTTTCTAAACATTTTATTTACGTTTTTGGAAAACGGGTATAGGAAATGCAGATGGACTTCAAAGACAAATAGCAAGTTAATGGACAATAAAGAGATAAAAAGGCTCTTGGCTTCATTTAAACTAAATTGTGTTACTCAGACCTTGAGTTTGCAGGGGAAATGAGACAAAGGTCTATTAATATTCGTGTCTGATTGTCCTCTTTGTTCCACCTGGTTCATAAAATTGCACTTAAAAAGTTATATGGGCGTTTGCGCTTTCTATAAATTCCACAGATGATCCTTGTTTTTTAACATCCACGGGAGGAAAGAGAATCACTGTGTTTATACGTTTTGGACCCATTTTATTGATATAATCTGATGTTTTCAATTCCATATGGTCATAGGTCATTTCAGACATTTAGGGAAGTGTAGCAACATGAATGAAAGGCACACTACCAACTCACAATGAAATAATTGAGCACATCTCTTTTAAGTAAACTTACCACTCAGCTCTGTATCATTGGGTTTGTTTTGGGTTTTTAATGAGTACTAGGGAGTGGAGGAAGAGACACAAAATCAGGACCACTGGTTTGAAACGTTTGTGAATTTCCACCCGATTGTTGCCCACATTTGGGGCTAACCGGTGGGTTTTGAAAATCTTTAAGGAACATTGGGTTTGAGTAAAGAAAGGCATTTATTTAGTGGAGAATTGAGAGCTTGTAGGATTAGTGTTAAAATCCTAAAGTCCACACCTTAAAGAAAGGTTAAGATTTCGTACTCTGATGGCAATATAAATAATGGAGAGGGGGTTTTTACAAATGTCGGCTCCTCCCTTCGCTTAATAGTTTTTGCCGTTGCCTCCTTTCCTCCTCAGTAAGTAACAGTGGCCACGGCAGAACTCCCCTTGCTCTCATTGCACTATAGAAGAAAAGGGAGCGAGATTCCCATTTCAAGAAACTGATAAGCTCAGTTGACTGACTACCTAGAACACATGTGTCAAACACAAGGCCCGCGGGCCAAATCCGTCCCGCCAGGCCAGGCCTTGCAATGTGGCCCGCACCGCGCTGTCATCACTGCACTCCGCTGCGTTTCCATCACAATGACAGTTTATGACTGTTCAGTAAACCATTCGGCCCGCGATTTAGGCTGGATTTTAGATTTTGGCCCCTTCTCTGATTGAGTTCGACACCCCTAACCTAGAAGAAGGTTTTAAAGAAGCGGTTCAAAAACTGTAGTCTACGGAACACCTACCCAGAATTCTCTGGAGAGCTTATTAAACATGCACTCCTGGCTTTGCCTGAGTCTTGCTAAATAAGCCCTCTGGAAGGGCCCAGGATCTGCCTTTATTATTATTTTTTTTAAAACAAGTCCCCCTCAGGTAATTATTATTAATGCCAAGTTTGGAACTTTAATGTTAAGGTAGTTTAGTCAGGATGGGTTGCTAAATAAGTAGAAGTGAGGAAACAAAGAACTATTCTTTAATACCCAAAATATACTAGTTAGAAGATAGGTAATGGTAACTCAACAGGTGAGTAACAATTTATATGTGAATAGAAAAATAGGGAAATATGCTGTCTGTGGCTAGGACTTTAGATGTGTCCATTAGAATGGGGAGCTACTAAATTCTGAGAACTATAAATAGAGTTCCTATTGCTCAAAGTCATCTGGCTTTCATGAACATTGGAGTTCTTTTTTTTAAAATATATTTTACTGATTTTTTACAGAGAGGAAGGGAGTTAGAAACATCGATGAGAGTCATCGATCAGCTGCCTCGTGCACGCCCCCTACTGGGGATGTGCCTGTGCAGTCCGCAGGCCGACGCTCTATCCACTGAGCCAAACTGGTTTCGGCAACATTGGAGTTCTTAAAGGCATAATGCAGGGATTCTTTATAGGGAACTTGGTATGTAAATCAGTGTCTCTAGGATTCCAGAGCATTGAAACCACTTGTATAAATGCCTTGTGTTGGTATTGAGAGGAACAGCAAAGTGAATGAAAAAGTGCTCATTGGAATACTAAGTGCTGGACATAGTTAAGACTTTAGTAGTCCTAGTAGTTTGAAATAGTAGTTTTGGGAGCTAAAACTTACACTGGCAGCATGGGAGTGTAATTTCTTCAAAGCAATAATAGAAAGGTGACAAACACAAACCAGTGCATGATTAACAGTCCAGGTGAACCGTGAGAGGAGCTCAGATGTGGTCGGGCAGTGGTCAGGCTCCGTAGCCCGTGTTCCAGCCGTGGAGGCGGGTAGACACAGACAAAGGCAGGTCTTCTTTCAAGCCTCATTTCCACAGTCACCAGAAATCAGACTCCTGACTGGATAGACACCAGGAGATGAGGGGTAATTTAGTTACTCTCCAACCATTACCTTTCTCTCCTAATATTCTATCCAAACCGGCAGAAAACATTTCTTTTTATTCTTTCCTCTGAGACAGTTCCATCCGGGGAGATGAGCAGGGAGCCTGCTTTTAGTCTAGTTAAGGGTTGAGGCCTGAGGAGAATTGAAGGACCACTTTGAAGATGAGGAATGTGAACGGGCTCTGATTTAAGAATAAGGAAAAGGGTAAGGACGAACAGGATTTTAAAGGAGGATAGATTACTAGGACTGCAAATGAAATTTATCTGGTGGTGGTTATATAGTACAACTTTTACTAGTTGTAAATCCATGTTGAGACTCAGTGACAACACAAATTTTTTTTTTTTTTTTTTTTTTTTGCTACATTTCACTCTTCTGGTGGTCCAGGGTTCAGGTTTCCTCTGGCCTATCCTGTCTGTTCACCTACCAGGGCCTGCCTGCTTCCTATTTATGTGCCTGCAGTCTGTCTGAACTCTGCCCAGGCTATTTCAGCTACTTACTTCCTCTTGCCCAAAGCATCTCATCAGCCTCTAACTTGCCTTCCACTCCTGATCGTCTCCCTCTCAGTCCAGTCCATCTGTGTTCAGTCATCTTTCTGATTGCTTCTTTGCTGCCCCAAGGTCTGTACCGGTGATAATATGCACAATCCTTAGTTTGGTATTCTGTGTCCTCAGGGCCCTGGGTCCCACCTGTTTTCCTGGTTATTTTCTGCTCTGCTCCCTCACCTACAGAAAGCTCCTGGAATAGTGTTACAGCCGTAGTGTCCAAAGGTCCCTTTTTTGTTTTGTTTTGTTCTTTGGTTCAATTCCTGACTTTCTGCTCAAACCCACTTCCATTAGTCTTAGGAAGGAGATGGTTTATCATCCAGTTTTACAGACGGGAAGATGGAGGCCCTGAGAATGTAAGGGGCATGTCCAGATTACACAGCTGGTTAAAGTGGCAGAGCCAGGAACGGAACCCAAGCCTGTCTGTGACGTCCACTGGGGTGTACTCACGCTTCTGGCACTTGGCTGCGTGTTACTGCTATCGGGATGCACGCCTGGTCTCCCTGCTCAGCCATGATTCAAGGCTGAGCCCATGCAGATCCTGGTATTCCTAGCATAGCTCGGGCAGATTGGAATTCGTTCATTAGATGCTTGCCGAGTGGAACCGCATTCCTCTGTGCCTACTAAATTGTAGCTTCCTTTAGGGTGAAAATGATTTATTGTTGTATTTGCTCTGTGTTTTTATACCTAGTGTGCATTCAGTTAATATTTGTTGAGTGAATGAATGGATGATGTTAGGGCTCACTTCATCACGTACGGGGAGACTCATGTAAGCGAGGTGTTAGCGACAAGGCGTCTGATTTTGTGAAGCTGGGCTGTCTTTGTAGAGACCACGCCCCAAGATGTCAGGGAGAGGGTCTAGGGAGCATATAAAGCAGTTCAGGGTTTTTTTGTTTGTTAGTTTGTTTTTTAATATTCTATTGATTTTTCACAGAGAGGAGGGGAGAGAGATAGAGAGCCAGAAACGTCGATGAGAGAGAATCGACCAGCTGCCT